TGTATGTCTCGTATATGTATTAATAATTGGCGTTTCATTACAACTCATAGACATTAACACTGCGATAGCGTATGAATAACTAAAACCCTTCAAGACTTCACACACACTAAGAGTATAATCATTTGATAGGAAGTGAAGGAAAGCCTAAAATGTATTCATAATTATTAGCTGTAATTACAATACGTATTGTTATGCAATCGCCACTCAAATACATTACACAGACTATTGTGTCAAACATTGAGAGCAACTGAATGTCAATCACTGCAGCGTTTCTGAAGGCAAATAAATACGAGATTTTTATTATTAGTATTCAATAAAAAGTATTTCATAAATAAAATATCATTTTTTGATATCATTTTCCTGAGATAATTGTGTTAAGAGTTGTGTCAATACCACTAATTAGCATGAAATAAGTGCTGAATCACTGATACCCTGCTTATAATCACTGCATGTACTGCCACTACACAAACATACACTCATGAGGTCGTGGATGACCGACTCATTGGTGACACTAACTGTCATTTAGGACACCATTTACACCGCAACTCATATCGTAATCCACGAAATGGGACTCAAAACGAGTGACATATCAGACACTAAGAGCTCAATAGTAGGTCTCAATTGGGGCTACAATTGAATCGCAGGACACTTACCACACAATCAGTGAGAGATGTCTTCAGTATGTAATGAGTGATAGTAAAGAGTAAACCCAATTGAATCGGTGGTCACCACGACATGAATGGCGTGAGGAATACGGCAATCAATGGTAGACTAAGAAGTGTACGAAAGTTAATGTAAACAACAAATGACTGGTTTTGTGAGCAAAACACTAAACACTCCGATAAATGGAGACTCACTTCACACTCAAACCCATTGCAAGCCTATGACTGCAACTGAGGCCCACTTTATACCCATTCATACGTTCACTCAATGCGTGAGTAGTATTACAGTCAATACAACTCACACACAGGCCTACAGTCACTGCCACTACAGTAGGCCTAGAGGTCAGCACTCATTCATATTGCAGTGTTGTGTTTGTGTTGACATCTGTTTTGCATTTCAAAGCACGGCTTCCCATAGCGTTTGCGTTGCTTTTTAAAAGTCCATGAAAAGTGTCAAACTCTTTGCCACAACTCTTGGGATCAGTTATGATCAGTGACGTGAAGCGCGTGGTGTTAGTGCTGTCCGGCAAAGGGGGTGTCGGCAAGAGTACAGTGGCCACACAGTTGGCTCTGGCACTCACTCACAACAACCAGAAGGTAAGGGAACTAATGGTCACCGGTTAAGACATTGTGTGATCACGTGTTTGCACCATAGGTTGGTATCTTAGACATAGACCTATGCGGTCCGAGTATTCCTCGAATGCTTGGTCTCGAGGGACGGGACGTTCAGCAGACAAATGAGGGGTCGGTTTGTTTGCAAACTTTATTTTACATATCATTTCATACCGTAATTAACAGTAAACTAATTCCCGAGCAGTTGGCTACCGGTGCCGGTGGACGCCTGTCCGCAGCTGTGCGTAATGTCCATTGGTTTCCTGCTGAAGGGTAAGGACAGTGCCGTGATATGGAGGGGCCCTAAGAAGAGCGCTATGATTCGCCAGTTCCTCACGGATGTCAATTGGGGTCCATTGGATTACCTCGTCATAGACACCCCTCCCGGCACTTCCGATGAACACATCTCTGTGGTCGAGTGTCTCAAAGAGTTCCGTAATCCGGACGGCGCTGTTCTCGTCACTACACCACAGGTTTGTCTCGCTTTTCGCCCACCGATTCCCAGTGAGAGATATGTTGTGACAAATGTGTGGACACTCTTAGGCCCTCTCTATAGGTGACGTTCGCCGAGAGATCACTTTTTGCCGAAAAGGAAATATCAATATATTAGGCGTTATCGAGAATATGAGTGGATATGTGTGTCCGCACTGTTCGGTGAGTTGTGCTCACGATTAGTATGATATCAACACATTTGCTGACAACTAATGTCTCCGAAGGAATGCACGAATATCTTCTCGACGGGTGGCGGCGAATCACTCGCCAAATACGCGGACATCAAGTTCTTGGGCCGCATCCCAATCGACCCGAAATTAGGCGAATGTACGGACGATGGCGTCGACTTCGTCCACAACTTCAAGGAGTCGGCCACCGCTCAGAGGTTTGAAGAGTTAGCGAAAAATCTTTTTGAATGAATAGCTCTTTTTATTTGAAATATAAGTTAAGAAACAATTCCTAATGTTTTTTATACATTTAAATCAAAAAATGTTTTGTTATATTTTTTTTAATAAGAAAATGATTTATCGATCGATCGCTTTATATAAATAAAATCAATGAATTTGAGGCACAATTTGCAATTTGAACCTTAAAACTAATATATAATTAATTGTTGGCATACCTTTAAAATTACAAACTAAGAGTCGACTCGAAATACAATGAATTAATTTCTAATATTCTTATGACTTTTGATCTAATCATCTAAAAACCCATTTATTATATACTGTATATATAATCGCAGACTATCTTTGCGTAGTATTCGTTGCTTTCATTAATCGTATGATATATAGTCCGACAATCGTGAGGGTCGCAAACCCGACACCCGCTCGGATCCAAGTGTTCGTGTCGTTCGGCAGAACACTCTGAAGGGTACTAAACAGACAGACAGACAGACATCACAATTAATTTGAATCGCAAATGAGGGGTCACTTCGTGTGTCGCATACTCTAAGTGTTGGGAAACCCACGACTGCGTGGGTCGCATGAGTAGGACGTGCACCAGACGTCTCAGGTTGGGATAGGCGGCCATTGTGCCCAACTTGACGTACACTTCTTTGAGGAGCTCCTCCTTATTGACGCTGAAATAGTGAGGCGGCGGCAGCTTATACTTGGCGCAGAACTCGTCCGGTTGTAACGTGTATTGTTGGCGCACCGGGAGCTCATCGCTCTTGGCCGCCACCACCAGAATCGGAAGCTTTGTGTTCATAAAACATTTCTGTCAAACAAAATGAAAAACAATAGTTAATATACAGTATTTGCTATCATTGGCAGACATTTGCGGCTAAAGTCGTACCAAAAAAGTTCGAGCGATATATTCAAAGGACTTGGGATCTGTTGAGTCATACATGAGACACGAGACGTCGCATATTAATTCGGGTTCAGTTAGTCTGTCGTTTAGCGTCAATATATCTATTTCTCTGATCTGTTATGAATTCAATACAAATCACGATTAATATGATTCCTAAACACATGAGTATTCAGTGTTTGCTTACAATTAAATACTTCTGTTGGCCGTAAATCTGAATAGTATTGACCACATAATTAGAATAGAGACTAATCTTATTCGTAAGACTTGATTTGGCTTTGGTTTGGAGCAGAGTTTTGCCCAAAAATCCTTTCATGAAAGATGTCTTTCCCGCGCCTTGAGGTCCGACCAAATGGCAAGAGAACACATTACGACTGGTTTGCCGTTTCTGCAAATCTATTCTCTTATCGCGTGTCACTAAAAAGGTTTACAAATCCTTCGTATGAATAAACAATTGACATAAATATCACAATAAATACCGTAAACAGAAGTCAATTGACTCTCTTCTGGCGGCGATATATACCCGAAATACGCTAAATATTCAAACGTTTGGCTCACGTCGATGGCAGTGATTAGTCTGCGATCAGCGCAATGTTCATTAGATTGGATTCATAACCACAAAAGCACTGCAACTCACGTCCAGATGGCAAGAAATCCCTGAAGAGTGACGTATCCCTTGTCATTGCATTCGACAATCCCGGAGATGTCTTCGTTGACCCAAACGGGCAGTCGCTCGCAAACACTGAACAGATTGTGTAACTCATTGGGAGAGAGGGCCCCATCGCCGTCCTTATCGTACTTAAGGAACAACTGCTTCAAGAAGTCATAGCCCTGTGATGTGAGTTCCGTACTGCAGCCCAACGGCACCTCCACTTTTGGCCTCAAGTACTGTTCGCCGAGACAGACGGCGTCGTTGTAGCCATACTTCCTGAGCACAGTCCACGTCGTCTCATGCCTTCCCCTCTGAATGAAGAGCGTGTGGAGGAATAGAAAGCCCGAGAGTGTGAGCCCGTCGTCGAACACACCGTCCGGAAGGCTTCGTTTGACGATATTCTTCACGTCATCCAAAGCCTGCGGTTGCAGTGGACTATCAAAGCAGCGCCTCTGGAAGCGATTGAGTTCGTGATCGTTCAGCACTCCGTCGTTATCTAAATCACATAATTTGAAGATTCGTGTCAACCCTTTCCTACAGTTCTCCGTCAACTGTAAGACACAAAAACCAAAAAAGATTATAAGTTTTGACAGAAAATACACGCGAATGAAGTGAACGCACGTCTCTATCTTCGGGTGAGTAGAGAGGGGCCGTCGGGTGAAGGACTGCCTTCTGAGCGTAATAGAAGAGTTCGGATATGTTTTTCAAGCTCTTGGCTGAGCACTAGATATTGAGATAAAATTGCAATTATCTGTACATTTGCCGCAATCCCTTCAGGAACTGGCGATGAGTGCATACCTCAACACATGTCTCCACTTCATAGAACTGATTCATAACCGGAAGAACCACTTCTAAGGAACTGTAATCGACTAAATCGGCTTTATTTCCGACTAATGATTACAAAAAATATGATTAATAAAAGTCTAATCAAAAGGTAATTGTGTTCACACCTAATACTACGGGAGTGCTGTGCTCTTCGCCCAATTCATCCCGAATTAATGGCAACCAATAACTAGTAATCTGTCGCATGATATCACAATTCAAACTTAGACCCAAACAGCAGATAGTCATTCAATTGGTCCAAACCTTATCGATGGTCTCGTCGTCATCGACACCATAGACAACGCAAATGACATTCGCTTTGCGTATCTCTTGCAGGAGAACATCGAGAGTCTGTTCTTGAGCTGCGGTGAAGATAAGGGAATAAATTACACAAAAACACAGATAATTCACAAAAATGCTATACAGATGCATAAAGAATTTTAACCAATTAAGTAATAGATAAAAGTATTAATAAATCATTTGCTAAATTAGAAATGCCAAAAGGATATTACATTTAGTCCTAATCGGCTAAAAATTTTTGCCAACATTTGCATAATTTTCGTTTGAAAAACAATTTCACGGCTTAAGAGTTCGCATAAAATTCAAATGAAACGCGAAGACAAACAGTGAATTTGTACGAAAAGATTAGCCTTTTGTAAGACAATTCATTTCGCTTGTAATCAGATTATTGGAGAAAAAAAGATTAACAGATTATGGGTTTCATTTAAATGTCAAATACTCATGTTTCGCAAACTTACAGCAATTTTAGAGACAATTATTTTATTTTTATTAGACTAGAGCCAAGTGTTAGGTAATAGTTAAATAATTTTTAAGCTTTTATTAATAGATTATAGGTTTTAAACAATATTTAAAAATTATGTAATCACTCGTAAAACCTATCCATATCTCGACGACACGTGTTTGCGCCATAAATACATAGATTTAAAATCAGATAATAGTGTTTAGACGCGACGGTTAAGTAAATAATAATTAAAAATCACTTCAATTAAAGTCGACAAACAATTCAATAAAAGATAATTAGAGATAACGATAACGTGTTTGGATGTCAAGTACAGTGTATTGTAAAAAAAGTTGTTTGCATGGCATGTATGGCACATAATTCACGCATTGATCATAAATTTCTCTAATTTCTATCAATTAGTGATTAATTATGAAAACCATTCATTGCTCACAACTTCACAAATATTTTATAACTCATTACAAAACCATTGAAATTCATTTCAATAACTTTTTTCCCGGAATTGAGAGATAAAAACCGCGATTTCAATGCCTGTCAGCCAGCGATAAATGATATGAAAAACGGCACAAAATAGTCAATAAATACCGGAATAGTCGACGATCTGAGTGGAGATCCTTTCGGGCGTCACGTCGGCCGGGATTGTGATCTCCTCGGCCTTCGGGGGCACCTCTTCGGGGAACTCTTCGCTCACTAACGAGAATATGAGTGAAGTCTTGCCGACACCGGCTTCGGGAGTGAAACAAACAAATCAATTAATACATTGACATTAAATGACAATTATTTGCATTCATATATTCATAACGCAAACAAACGGATTGTCTGTGAAATGCATTCAAATATCAATACAAATAACATCACCACATGAATGGTAAGCATAAGATAATAAGTCCATACATTCTCCCACTAAGAGTATGCGACAGCACTTCTTGCCGTTCTCGTTGACCATGTCTTCCGGATATGTCTTAACCAGTTGTGCGGTGGTCACCAGCGCTGGTGTCGTCCACACGTACTGTCACTCGTGTGACGGTGTCTTCGGGAACAGTCTTCGGGAACAGTCTTCGGGCGGCAATCGCTGGACTCGTCGATCAGTCGGCAGTCATTTGTGTCGCGCATTGACTGACAGGTGAAGACATAAATAAGACTCAAATTACAGCACAATTACCACACATATAATGAATTGTCTGTATTATTGACACCCAATCTAATCACTAATTAATTCAAATGACGATTAAATTTGGGATAAATTATCAC